ACATTCAAGATTTAAAAGACTGTCACTGTTCCATAAAAATATGAAATATTTTGATGATAAAAATAAATGTTGCTAAGTAAATTAAGGCACGGTACTGCATAGTCACTGACCGATAAATCCTAAAAAAACAAAAGTTACCTCATTTACATTACGTTTTGGTTCCATTGTCGCCGCATTCAACACAACTCCATCAATTCTATCCAAATGAAATCTTCCTACAATTAATTGTTTCGCATATAAAGCATTTAGTTATAAATTGCAATCAGTGAGTTTTAAATATGCTACCCTTGCAAACTTTTGTTACAAAGTTTCGGACAGAATCGAAATCAGCTAAGTCACAGTGTCTGCAGTAAACCTGTCGATTGTTGGTTTTCATGACAATATCTCTACGAACTGATACACATTTCTGCCGATCTCTAAAATGATTGAACGTTGCTAAAAAATTGCTTGTCAAAAATAAGTTTTAAATACCGTAATCGAAAAGAGAACCCTTGCAGCGCTGAAAATTACCTAACTACAAAACAGTTATTTAAATAGTTTATTAAACTTCCTCATGTTAAACTTTACTTGAACTGCTGAAAAACTAAAACAAGCGCGCCGTTGTATCTGATCATACACCACATAATTATGAAAAAGTTCGGTGACGTACTATACTTAAGAGCTATTTAACGTAAACCTGCAGGCCATGATAACTCGAGCACTCCGTCTAGCTAGCTCACTTGCCACTTCTTTACCAATCCCTGATGTGGCGCCACTGACAATGTACGTCTTACCACTCAAGTCAGTTTCTTCATAGTAAGCAGCTTTTTTCCGTCTCTTCCTAAAAACCTCAATTTAATAACAATAATGCCGCACACAACCTGCTTCCAAAAAAAAAGCGTGATCCTTACTCGATGTAGAAGTAAGCGCCGCTACCAACGCCAAAAATATAGCAACCAATAGCCCACGGTGACTTCAACAGATCTCGAACCCGAGTCGACATCCCAACAACCTTACCTCATTTGTTTAAAACCTAGGTGGAACCGTACTTATGCAAAAAGGGCAGAACTCGATTCAATATACAGTAAAACCAAAAAGTGTTAAGTTCAAAAACAAATACATACCTTACCGGCAACTTAAAACGTCCTCACGGACTCACGCAAAATAAGAGTACCGGAACTAAAAGTAAGTAGTCAGACTGCATACTACGAGAAATAGAAAAACTAACAACAACTTTATTACTTTTTTGAGCAAAGTTCACGAAACCAATACACAACATTAATAAACATCATTAAGTCCTGGCAAAACTTCCAGCTGTCACATCACTAGAAAAAAAAACAAAACACATGTTTGAACTCCTTTACAAAGCCTCAAAAAGTACAAACTTAATCCAAGCCATATACATTAAGCTACTTCCCGATACTCCGAATAAAACTGTCATGAAAAAAGAACACATTAGTAGGATGCACAGAAAATTATGGTGCAATTGAAATACCACACATATACAAAAGTGAGTCCACAGCAGCTGATTTCTGCTAGAACAATGTAAGACTTTAAACCAGTTTCTTTGCCTCGAAGAAACCTTTCAAATGGCGCATCTGCCAAGCACCAGTCAACAAAAGCACTGCAGTCTGGGCAATAGACCACCATAAGACCCGAGAGTTGGTATTTTCGCTTGTTAGACGAAACTTTTCTTCCCTAAACAGAACAATTAAAAAAAGAGCAATAGTCGGTAGAGATAAAAGCCGTTTATTTACAAAAAAAAAAAAATCTTAACGTTAAAAATGTTTGTTTTCACCAAACAGCTGCATATACGCTAAATATATATATGAGCAATAGAAAAAAATTTTTAAAAATTGAAGTCGCTTCTCCAGAGCCATAGCTAGGTCCTCACACAAAAGCTTTTGTATACTTCAGAAAACTAATTATGAAGTTAAATATTATTTATATAACCCGAAATATCACCATAATTCAAACGCTGATTCATCTAAAAATTCTCTTTATATGAACAAAGTCAGAAAAAAATTGTCGTACAACGAAACACAAATTACAACAGTGAAACATTAAGCTTCCCATACCTAAATCTTTGATAATTCTGCTCTTTAGTGATCTGTTCCACTTGATCAAGTAATTGTCGAATTCGAAGTTGCAACTCATTTAATTTGTCTTTAGCTGCTATCTAAAACTTTAAATAACTTGTGTCATACAAATGCTTTCCAGTTACGCTAAATGAAGCCGAAAACGTCTTCAATAAGTTTTAAGGCAAAGCCACCCATACCTTTTCGTAATCCTGCGTATGTTCTCCCGCTTGAATATCTAAATGTACACGTAACTGAGCCCCACTAAACCACGCCGAAGAATTGGAATAGAGGCAAATAATATGTTCTCCAGGCGAATTTGAAGTAAATGTAAAACGCCCTTGACTAGTATATAATTTCGATAGTATCACCTAAAAATAACGCAACTTTTTCACTCCTCTCTTATTCACAAGAAGATCATGACTGACATTAGCAAGAACTCAATGGCATCAGTAAAACACAAAAGAAGGTCCTTTTTTTCAGAAAAAATGGAAAGAGAATCTAACTCTAAAACAATTGAATTCTCAACCACGCTCATTTATTTGTCAATGCATTGAACCTAAAGAACTAACCTAATTAACGAAGTACTGCAAAAATTTACCCACCAAAGCAGATATAAAAAGATTAAAATTCATGCTTAAACATTCAAACATCCAACTTTGTCATCGGGATCCCTAACTTCAACGTGCATTCCCATATTCGGATAATCACCGTAACCTTTCGTAGATGGATCATACAACTGCACTTTATAATTTCCGACCACCATCGTTTCATCGGGTATTTCTTCGATAAAGCATTTTCTTTCAGTCTCGCCAATATGAAAATACAACGCGTCGACGCCTAGCACCGAAAGTGTAAACAATAAAAGACTCCAAACAACCATTTCAGTGCCTAAAAATACACCATAGCCCCAATCCTACGAGGAAATCTTGAGAGGTTCCCAAACGACAATTATAATTTAGATGAAAGAACAGCTGAGAGCCCAACAATTTAAAAAGGCCAAATAAGCAAATCACGAAACGACACCGATGTCTTTCAACTTCAAAACACCAGAATATAACATTTACTGCCAGTAACAAGCAAGTGAAGTAACAAGGCTGAAAACGAAACAAGAAAACAGTTAACTCAACAACGACTAAGCAAATAACCCATAGCAAACGATGGCAAACAACAACTGACTAAAACCAGAATACAAAAAAAAAAAAAAAAAAAACGGAAGATCATGCCGTGATTGCACAGTATAACAAAAGACTAGATTACCTCTCTTGTAAGGCAAGGAAAGAGATTAGTAAGAGCAAATCAGACAAGGCTGTATTTGATAAACTGAAGTTTAAAGACTGTTAAAAACCAAATCCATATCAGTTACCTAACCGTATCCATATATATGACTGAAGTTAAGCAAAGTCGAAAAAGTAAAAGACTGGAACAACAAAGTGGGAGTGGGATGAACGCACAGAATGGAATTTCTAGTAGGAGGCAATTCAAATTACATTAGAAAGTTGGTTAGTCCAATTATATTTTAAAAATGACTAAAAGACATTCTGTTAAACATATTACAACCATGACCAGAATCTCTACAGAAGGGGTTTTTGAGCTAGTCCAAAAACAACTAAAGCAGTAGCAGATTAGCTAGTAAAACTGAGGTGAACAGCACTAAACAATAAGAAAAGAAAAACCATAAAAAACAATACTAAATTATTAACCAGAAATTTTAAAGCTTTCACTAACAAACAAACTGATCATCTAAGGCTTGACACTGCTGAAAAGAAGGCGGTGCCGTCAAAAAATTAAGGTCATACAGCAATGAAAAATTAATTGGAAAAAATGAATTAGTAAAACAATACTGAAAAATAGGAGGAAGACACACAAGTAGAGATGCTAAACAATTGCTAACGGATCTGCATAGAAGACATTTAATGAGCAACTGACGAAAGCTAGGATGAGCACAAAAAACTGAACATTTATAATAAAACAACCACAATTTGAAAGAAATGGTTTCAAAGTGACTAAGACAACTCGAGAAAATTTCACATAAAATGATTACTGAAAGGTTTTGCAACAGCCCCAACCTAAAACTAGAAAGATTCGACAGTACCACTGTCATGATTCCGTTGCAAAGACTTACCCAAACATCACAGAACAGTGACCCAAAAAAATAAAAGTCGTGAGCAACGATTACGTAAGAATATTTTAAACATCATACTCTGAGTGTAACTGGATAACCACCTCGGTTGGAAAAAATCAAACTACGCTAGAACCTTAATCAGGCAAAATAAGAAGGTTCTAATTCCCGGCATTATCCTGAAATTTTTTGAAGTGCCAGCGCTGTGACGATGCACCAGCATCGCAAACTTTAAATGACAGAAGAAAATCGTTAGTAGCATTCTTTTCAAGCGTCAAACACGTGCCACCAAATTTCATCCAACCATTATGCTTGTCCAGTATCCACTTAAACTTCACCTGGTAAATATAAATTTATGATTGCAACCAAATAAAATACTGTCAAGGAACTAAAATTAATTAGAAATATGAAGCATCCAGAACCTATACACTATGTTGAATCTACAAATATCTTTTCCCCCATAAAGATATTACGCGCATGAATTTTTCATGGAGTAAAAAAGAACTTTAACACATCGCAAATAAATTCATTTCAAGGCCAAAATCAGAAATTTCAACAACAATGCAAATGTTTAACTAATAACAGTATATTTTGGACTTTCACTTAAACTGTGAACTATTTACATTTCGGCAGTCCTTAATATCCCACCACTGTAATGCATTTAAAAAGTTGCTTATTATGGAAGTTAAAACCACCAAAAACTATTTTTGTAAACATATTCCCGTAGAAGAAATCTCAAAATAAAAATAAATTGGTCAGTTCTTCGAACCTTTGCTTCTCCTCAAAAGAATCAAAACAATGCTGAAAACCCTGACAATAAAAAATAAGAAGTACGTATAAAGTTCCTTACTTGACTGCATATTTCCAGCACGAGTTTAGAAGAATCGTCTCTTCCCAAACAAAAATTACTCATCCCCTTTTTGATGCTGCCACCATCGCTGTCAAAAAGCCACTCCTAAACAGGTATATCGCAACGAATGCTAACGATCCTCTCAAATGCAAATTATTCCCTACTCGCTCCCAAAATAGTTGATAAAGATAATAAATTGTAAGAAGCGCCCAACCAAGAAGACATTAAATACTGTGAGAAACATGCCTGGTTACCACCAACATCATGACACTGATACACTCCAACAGGAGTGTTCGGTGCAGCCGCTCCAAGGGAATCCAGGCACTGGTTACCCATCATGAAAGCCAATCGCTCTTTTTTACTGATCAAAGTAACTCTGAATTGTCGTAAGCCTTTTGTCACGATAAGCAATCACATCAAAAAAATTTAACACTTGAAAGCCTTTAAAAAGGATATTAAAACAACGACTAGCTACGTACTTTAGTTCTGGATAAACTTCTTCAAGGTACCAATCAAAGTCTTTGCACTGCAGCTTTTCTTTTAACTGAAGACGCTTCGAAATGCTGAAATACCTCAAAGTTTAACAACAAGAGAGAGAAATCAGTGATCAATCCACGATCCTTATTAGAGAACATTTATACTTAGAGGTTCACTTAAATACACGGAAACTACCTTCAGCACCGAAACAGGAGTGAAAAGGAGTTATAAGACAGCACAAAACTGAAAAAGCAACTAAAACTGTTACGGAACGCTTGTCGTAAAGCGAACAATAAAGTGTGCTTACTCTCCAATTCTAATAAATCGAGCTGAGGGTACCCTTGCAAAATACTGCTCTATATACTCCCCTAACCAAACTTCTGCCGCCCTTCTTGTGTTCCTGCAAAACAATCATAACAACAAAATAAAGGAGGGATACTCTATATCGGCAATTTTAAAATGTGGCTTAAATGCACCCAAAGAAAAGGAACCATTTGCAATACAATATAAATCAGCAACGACAAAATAAATTATTTTATTTCTGTTACACAATAAGACGAATAAAAGTTACCTCTGAAATACAACACCACTTCCTCCAGGAAATGTGTAAGGATGTTGCTTGCGGAAAACATGGCCAACCCGACTACATGGGATGATTTCCAAAGACCCTCCACACTGCCAAACGCGAAACGATAGTTCTGGAAATTCGCTTAAGCGTTTAAAAGAGAACTGGGAAGTACAACAGAGAGAAAAAGATTAAGCCGAGTTTTCTTTTGGGTAATAATGACAAAATTTGCAAACCTAAATTTTCACCACCCCAGATATCCATATCAAGGTCATACTTGCCAAGCTCTTCAAACCACCTCTTTTTTATCATAAACAAGCCCCCGGCTATAACTGGTGTTCTAAAACTGATATGTGAAAAAATCTTTACAACAATAAAGATACAACCAGTTACTATAAACGCTATCAAAACAGCGAGAAAAACCTTTTCTTACTTAATTGGTGCCGTGGGGTTTGCATGCCTTTCTTCGCGAGTCTTGCCCACCAAGAAATCCCACTTAAAAACAAGATTCCAATCAAAACCTAAAAAACTCCTTTTAAAAAAAAAATATTTGAAAAGTGTGTAAGACGCATGTTTAAAAAAAACAACTCGAGCTATACATAAGATTGACCAAGAAGATTATAGTAATTCTAAAGCTTTTCTTGCCCCTGAAAACCGGAATTAATGTGATCTAATCTAAACTTAACAAACCGTATTCCACAGTTTTATAAAAACTTCTAGTAATTATAAGGATGCGAATACGGATGCAACCGTGAAAGCGTGGTATTTTGTTGTAATAATCCACACCAAAAAATTTAATTATTTGAAAAGCAGCTAAAACCACCAGAAGTGTTAAGCTACGCTGCTGTTTTAGAGCCCCCTGCCATTTTCTGATACAAAAAGTAGCCCAGTAGGAATGCTTACCCAAGCAGAACGCATTTTATAAATGATTAGCAAAACGTCGAAGACTGTCAAAAGTTCAGTGAAAAAAAGAATCAAAAAATTATGCATAAGTAAAAATCCCTTGTACTGTCTCTTATAGAAAAGAAAAACGAAAAAGCTGCACAAGCAAACTCTACAGGAGTCCAGGTGGACTACACAGAACTCAAAAACTGAAAATCTCTATTCCAGTTCTTCTTCAATAAGTGTCCAACTCGCTTTGTAACCAAACTGTCACTGCCAATTAAAAAAGAGGAATACCTTAACAACTGTAAAATGCTCGCTTAGTAATTGGACAAAGACAACAAAGGAAAAATTCTCACAAAAAAGTCTTGTTTGCTTTATTCTCTCTTATAATGCCAGTAAAATATTCCATTGAGAAATTAATCTTTACACTAAGGTACTAAAAGTGAAGTCCTGGTTTCAAACGGCAGAAATCACTTGCGACAAAAAGCTATGTATGAAAGTGTCAATGACAAAGGAAAGTCAACTCATCTTTTTCCCTGATAATGGCAAAAGATATGCTTCAACAATCTGTTTAATGAAAGTCACCAACCAAAACACAGATTTTTCATTTACACTCCATAACCAGAAGAGACTCATTTCTACAAAGAGGAACTTGCCACAACAGCTTAAATTCATTTATGTAAAGAAGATTCTAACACTAAATTTTATTTATTACCGACGTCTATCGGTTCTTCGGTCTAAAAACTGCAGATTTTCATGATATTGGAATAAATGCACTGGCATCACGTTGTTAAGTGCAATGATTTTCCGCAATAGTTACTTGTTTTCCCTCCTAAGCAAAAGTGGGTTAAAACTTATTAACCATATCTTGAGAAATCAAATCAGAATTGTTCTAAAGCTCTTGCAGACCTAACACAGAGATGACTATTTGAAATTTTTCCAATCAATACAACACAGATAAACTGAAAAAAAAATTCACATTTTGAGGTTGCTTACTATCATCAGCAAAAAACAAATATTTCTTTGAGGAGGAAATATAAAGTCCATAAAGAAACTTAGTTAAGAACGCAATTTGAAAAGTCTTTTTCAGTAGCAGTTGCTAAAACAAAATAAGGTAAACGAAAACCTCCTCGTAAATCGGCACTAGCTCCAACATAAGCAAAGTTGTCCATATTTATTACATCGATAATAGGTGCTACAACTGAGTGAGAATTCTCCATAACACGAAGAAGAAGCGGCTCTAGCCACTGAATATTACATTCACAATGACTGTCAAGGAACGTGAGCACCGGAGCAGAAGCAATTTCAGCTCCTTTTACACGGGAACGGATCAATCCTGAAATCGATATTTCCATCAAAAGAGCTTCCTGAAAGAAACTCATCAAGGATCAAAAATGGAACCAAACAACGTTGCCAGGAAAATTGTTACTACAAAGAACAAAAGATTTTTCACAAGAAGAGTGAAAAATATTGAATAAACTATTTATTACCTTCTCTAACAGTGTTCCTTATGACAACAACTCTGTCGATTTTTATCAATTCCTTGCCAACCGACGCTAAAAACAAAAACCGTCAAAAAGACTTAGAAACAATATCATGCAAAATTCTAAAAAATAAATTTGCCTTCAATCTCATATCCTCCGACATTAACTAGTCAAACTTACCGTCTTTAGAAAAATCATCTACAAGTATTATTTCCCTCAGAAGATTTGGAGGCGAACGTAAAAATGCGCTCATTATTGTCCTCAGCAATGTCGATCTTGCCTCATTATGATAAGTAATTATGATAGATGTTTCTGGTAACGAATTGATATCGTAGGGTAAAGAGCGACATCTGAAATGGCAAAACAATCTACACTTACCAACAAAAAAATAAATTTACTTCATAAATCATACGTCACTGAAAACCTGACAAAATCATTCTCACCAACAGCTTACAAACTGTAAATAAAGTTAAAACACTTAATTACAACAAAACCTCATATAATAGTATGCTGCACCACCAGCATTGGCCAAAAAGGAGAAACTTTAAAGTACAACGTACTGAATAACCAAGGCTTCGTTGCTGTTTTTAAAGGTATCGAAAGCCAATAATGATAAGAGCAAATTCTACTTTTAACATTCCACAAAGTTTCATTAATTAACCCCCCAAACAACGTCAATAAAAACTGATACCAAACCCCATCTAGAAGGTGTAACCTTGTTGACAGAGCCATAAATATCGTGGCGTAAGAAACTTTAGCATTATATTGCACACCATACTAATACTAATTATCTTCCCAACTCTCCTCTTCTTCAGCAAAACAAAGTTATAAAACGTTCTTTTACGGTAATTCGATGGTAACAAAGAAAAGAAAAACAACTAAATAGAAACCATACAGGTTTCGAAAGATTTTAATTTATTAGTTCTTTTAATAAGCAAAGTTCTTACAATTAATGTAATCTCGCTATAGCGCGTTCTAGGAGAATAGTTCTTTGAGAAATTAACAGTGGCCAAATTACTCACTATTAACATATTTTTAGGCCAATGGCTTTCAAAAATAAAAATTATAAATTAAACAAGGCGAAAAATTCCACAGCAATAATATTCAAAAAATATATTAAATGATTCAGAGATTTTCAAAGACAAAATCTACTAAAGAAAAAAGTGCCAGAAGATAAAATTAAGTAATACACATACTTTAATTCGCGAGAATCAGGAATAGTGCGATTCCACCTAACAGCATCGCTTGCTTCTTGATTAAACTTGTTCGCCATGTACCTTAAAACCAAACTGAAGATTTGGCCAATACTATAAACATTTACCTAATAACAAAAAAAAAGGAGCAAATTATAAGAAGTCTTACTCACTCCCCACTCCAAGGAAAAAAAAACTGCCATCAAAAAAAGAGCTTCAAAATCTTAAAACACGGTATTGCAATTCACCGATAAACAAAATAGAATTAAAATTCAAAAACAAAAAAAAGATATCAACTTTCCAGAAAATTGACATACTTGTCCTCCCCTGGTTTCAAAGCTCCTCTCAACAAGTACTCTGTATGGTTAAATTCTTTCCAGCTAACGATATCATTCGGTTTCGGGTAAATAAATGCATCTTTCAACAGAGGATATGCAGATTTCGGAACAACTGCAGTGCCACTTTTTGTTATAACACTTTCTACATTCTAAAGATTCAGAAGTTCTCAATTTTGCTCTTAAAATTAAATTAACTTCTGCATCCATAAACAAAACCGCAACGACCACAAGCATTACCTTCTGTTGTACGATTACGTGCTCAGCCTTGCTTCGTGTTAAGCTATCGTGTTCAAGAGCAGTGTAAAGAAAAAAGCCAATACCACAAATCCAAACGAATAAAAAAAGCACAAGGAACCATTTAAATCGACATCTCATAGCTACTGCTACAAAAAATTGCCTTATTTCCATTTCTTACCATCAAATTCAAAAATTTATGTGACCAAACAGAAGAAAAAAATAATCTATTCCAAATCAGCTGAAATTATTTAGCACATTAATGTTTCCCCAGATCTCTGATGTAAATGCCCTGGTAATAAAAACTTAATGCACTGATAAATTTTGGTAAATACAAACAATATTTGCAAAAAACATTGTACTTTAAAAAGAATAAGTGCATGCTTCATAGCAAATGATTATTAACAACCAGAACAAAAACCCGACCAGTGAACTAGTTAGTTCGACGTATGGCACCAATTACCGAAAATACATCGGACCGCCTGCACTAACCACACCTGAAAGACACAGTAAAGATAGCTGCTTCAGGTTTTTGAAACAGACGATCAATTGAGACGCAGGCAAAAAAAAGAAAAGCTGGAGCCAACAACCACGTTTTATATAAATACCTCTAAGTACCACCACAACAACACCGCAACAGCATTTACACCTTTAAAAATTGAAAAATGCTTGAATCCCCAAAGGAAAATGACATCCTAATCTAAAATCTAGAACAAGATTTAAAAAATTTCCATTCTAGAGTCACTTTCAATAATTCTGAGCATTCGAGCAAGAAACGTAACTAGAAACCACAGAGGAGATTGAAAATACTCCTTTAAAAAAAACGGAAAATATCTACATCCAATGACCATCTTATTCAAATGAAAATAATTAGTAAAGTTTTATTTTGCTTTTGATACACTCCACTCTTCCAAAATTACCACTATAAAAAGATAATAGCAGTTTTTTGAAACAAGCATATTCAAGCCACGAAAAGAAAATTTCGGAAACAACCCATTACTGCAACACTCATGAATACTTACTTTAACACTGCTTTGAAAATCAAGCCAACCGCTAAAACCTTTAGCCGGCAACTATAAATTTGGTTCTTGCACTAGTAATTGTAGATAATATCATAAAAACGCCTCCTAAATCGCAAAAAAAAAAATAAAAATAAAAAAAAAACAAACACTGAATCTCATTGTCAAAAAATTACTAATTTTAACAACCAATTAGTAGCGAAACCAAAATACTCTTAACTTTTTGCTTCTTACCGTTTTAACAAATAAAAAACTCTAAATAGATTGTATGACCATCGTATCAATCTGACATGCAAACTAAGTTAGATGACACCCACCATTTTTTGCAAAACGACTAACGTGTTTTTACAGTTTCATACGACTTTCTCAAAATGTATTTCGGGGATAAGTAAGCCACATACTAGCCACTCAATAATTATCGTCTTCTTCCTATAGAAATCGCTAAGAAATATAAATATTGCGCATTGCAGAAATCCTCAATTTTTAATCAGCACTTTAGTTTTTGCTAAAAATACTGTCAATAACTTTGTGACACAACAAGTCATTAAGCAGCAACTTAATAAACAGTAAAGAATTACAATAAACATCAACAACTTCGAAGAGCACTTTAAGAGAGTTCTACTCGACATAACTATTATTAAAAAACTAAACAATTTTTAATTACAAAATTTCAGCTCTGTCAAACTGACATTCAAAACAATTTCCTAAAATTAAAAATAGAATGCAAACTGATATTAAATCCAATAAATAAAACCAAAGCTGCAAAAGAAAAGCATCCTTTTAAACCAGCTGTCACAAGTAGCCTTAAGCAGCATTACCTAATTTCTACATTGTACCTTTCCTTCAAATATAATGCAATACTGGCGTGAATTTTATTACACTCTTCCTTCGTCAAAGATTTTGTAGGACTGCGATAAACTAAACGATAAGTTTGACTCAGACGTCCCGTCTTCTTGTTTTTGTACGAGTCCGTAATATTTACCTTTCAAAAAAAAAATTTATGAATAAAGAATGAAAACTTAGGAACAATAACAGCTGTTTTTTGTGAAAAAATTCAGCTTGAAATTTTTGACCCTAAGCACTCTGCAAAATCAGACCACTTTTTCAGTAATAATCGCATACAGAAAATGGCTAGATCACCTGCTCAATAAGTGGCCCTCCAATTGACCGAATAGCATCGTAAGCGTTGGCAGTCATTTCATTTGGCTCAATTTCGACAGGCATCCAAAAAGAAAGATCAAGATACACCTGAGGATGTACACTTACAGGAACGTACTTGATGCTTTCTTTTGAAGACTTGCCCTTAAACTGCGAGAGGAATCCAGAATCCTGCGACCAAAACAGTCTGATATCAGGTATATCATATAACACCTAAAACTCCAAAACACGGTTAGACCTCAAACAATACTCGAAATCAAATTATCCATCAATTTTAAAACCAGATTAACTCTTGAAAATATGAAATATTTCAAAAAATATGACTTAAAACTATGAGACACAAAAGTCGCTCAAACAAAATCGTGACCAAAGATCTTTAGAAGAATCATTCCCAATTACGGATGTATTTTCACGAAATGATAAACAGAAACTACTGACAAGAAAAGAACACCATGTAACGAGCCAAAAAACAAAAAAGAAATTCGTAGCTGTAAATTCCAAAAGTACCATTGCTAGTCGTTCAAGTCCTAAACCAAAAGCAAATCCAACTTTATCCGAGGCCCCAGAATTTTCAAGAATCTTCTGCTCTAAAACACCACATCCGAGTAACTCCAACCATCTGTCTTCATAGAATACTTCTAGCTCAAAGGAAGGATGTGTAAATGGGAAATACGTTTCAACCCAGCGCATTTTCGTGCTACGACCAAATAAGTCACAACATAACTGCTCTAGAGTATCCTGAAATTCAACACTTATTCCATTCTTTCTCCACTTATTTCATTTTTTCTACACTTCACAAAAAAAATTTTTTTAAAAACAAATTATTTAGAAACTAAACAACTGGCTTTCAGTTTCAGCGTCAACAGCAAAGCAGTTTTATTAGAGTGTGTTTCCTGCTTGTCTTTTGTCCTCGAACCATCCTCGAAAAGTATATGCTGCAAATGTAAATCTTCTCTTAATTTAGTCTGGCATCACTGGTGTTCAATAACAATAAATATGCCGGGTACTAATCTCCGAGAAAAATTATTTCCCTAAAAGCCATATTTGCTTTGAAGTTTTATAAGCAATTAGACGGTTATTTGAAAAGCAGCATAAACCCCTTATCTCATACTACCAAGCAGAAATCAGTCTAGATGCATTTCACGCCTTTTCATGTATTAAGCACTCTTTAACGAACCCCAGTAGACGGATCGAATAATTCTGCACCTGAGAAAAGTCGAACCCCCTCAAGTTGATGGAAACATGGATAATGAGATCTATCAATCTGGTCTCGCCGGTAAACGTCACCGACTGTAAGAAAACTGTGGAGTCCTAAACATTTCTGAGAATTGTACAGAAACCAAAAAAGGTAGCTGGAAAAGAATCATAATGTTGGAATCCATTCAAATTTATAGGCAGGAAGTAACAATAAAATGAATACCTCTCTTCTGAAAAAGAACGACAAAATTCAACGATTTGCATGAAAATACGTATGCTAAAAAAATTTTCTCAACAATTCCGTTCTTAGAAATCTTGCAATATCTATACCTCTGTTAATCAGTTTGCATTCATGAGCAGACGTATGACCCCTTAAACAATGGTCTTTGTTAACGTAATACGTATCCGACGACCTCCTACTTACGTGGTCTGAAGGAGTGAGGAGAGAGTCAAAATTGTCCCATACTGAGACCACGCGTGGCTCGTCCTCACAAACCGCGTAAAGAGGCTTATTTTCTGAAAACCTTATCCCAAATAAACTAAAGGATGCTTACAGAAGTGAATGTAATATCCAAAAAAATGCCTCTAATTTAAATACATGTAAAAAAAATTAAAGCGAAAGCCATATGCTAAATATTATGAAACTCATGAGAACTTGATCTTAATGCAACTACCTTTATTAAAATATTTTGAGCTAAAATGATCAACAATAGCTTGTTTTAATAGACGTAATGGATTCCCTTCTTCAGAAAGTAGCTTCCTTCCAAGCATTTGCAGAATCGCTGGAGAGATATTCCAGTTCTCGTCAGGAGCCAGAGTAAAACCTAGAAAATTTCACTGTTATAAACCTATTATAATTACTGAAGAAATTTTACCAAAGTGAAATAAGAAGTTTACAGCACGACAAAAAGCAAACAACAAAATGAAAGTTAAAAATGAGAAGAATAAGTTTTTAAAAATACGAGAAAAATATAACTGATAAAAAGACCATACCATCTAAGATGAATTCTTTTGGTGGACTGAATTTCCTTTTTTCACCAATTGCTTTTTTCTGGGATAATTCTGCTGTAGCACCGAAATGATGAATTAAACGGTTACAATAAAAATGATACTGTTTAATTATCGCTGTATATCGGTGACGTCCCAACATTTAAAGACAGCTTAAACTGCACAACATACGAATGTAAGGATAATAACAAAACGAAATAATCAATGGCCCACAAGTTTCGAGTTATAACACTGAAAATTTTACATAGATTAGTTCATTAGCAGCAGCAAAAGCTAGCAAGCACTATTAACGGAAAAAAAATGGTTGTCGGCAAAAAATATGCTTGATTTATCGGGAGCATCCGCGCTGTAACAGTTCAGTTTTCATCATCAAATATAAAAGCCGAACGCCCAGTAAAAGGAGCGCTGGAAAAATATAAATACAAAGTACATCGCTGGCACTAAAAAAATTTCTATACAGACAAAAAAGTTTACAATTATTACAGTTATCCAAACGTCAAAAAAAAACATAAACGGAGCCAAGAAGTTATGCAGGAAAACCCGTAATTGTCACCTAAATATAATGTACACTCATAGATATTCGGTTGCAAAACTGCCAACACGACTTTTTGGAAATTGGCCAACTGTTTAAACTTTTCTTTACTACAGATATTCATTTGTATTCATTTACGCACAGCAGATTCATTCTTGTAGCTGCTCAGATAGTTGAAGCAGTTTTGTTGACAGAAGTATACAAATGATCATTATTCAGCGTCAGAACCACTTTTTT